CATTTATGGGAGCGGTGCCGACACACGCTCTCCCCGAGGGGACACAGCCGGGACAAAAAGCCAATGGGGACAAATGGGACGGGTGACGGAGTGGAGAGGCCGGCAAGCAGGACCAGCGTCTCCCTCACACCCTGTTCTCCATGAGGGCCCCACGCCCGCCCCCCAGTTAAGAGCAGTAATCCCCGCACCATGGCAGCCACCGGCCCTGCAGGCACCCTCTCCCCAGCCACCGCGGAGCTCAGCCCGGGCAGGAGGATCCCAACCCCCTTTCCGAAAGCCCTTTTTTCCCCCAAAAAAAGCAGCCGTTTCATCTGGTGGCTCCAGGGACAAGATGGAGAGAGGCGGCAGCTGCCACGCACGTGACCCCCCTCTCCACGCTGCCCTGGTTAACGGCGGTTTCCTCCTCACAGACCGATCAGCGGCAGCAGAAGCGGTTGGGTTTTACATCCCCCCTCGCAGCGGGTGCAGCCGGCGACAGGGAGGTGGCACGGGGCGGTGACGGGACCCGGCCCCCCCCACCCTGGTCCCTCTCGCCCCACGACGTGCACAACTTGAACACTGCAGGCATGAAGTTGAGGGCACGGAGGAGCAGCCAGCGGCTGTGCGCGGGGAAGAGAAAAGCACGACTTCCTCCCTTTTTTCTTCTGAGAGATCCGAGCCCATATACAAAAGGAAGTGCTGAAATCACACGCCCTGTAGATAAAATACTATTATTCCGTTGGCACCAAACCCTCCGAGAAATGCTGCTCCCCCCCCTCCCGGGGGTCTGCGGTCAGCGAGGAGGCTGTGTCTGCAGGGAGATGCTACCAGAACAGGGCACAGCTCTCCCACTATCCTTACAGCGCACCTTCAGACAACTCCTCTCACCAAGAGTTTCCACCAGGGAAGTCACGCTGGCGTAAATACACCAGTAAATATCTTCCTGCAGGCCACCGGTTAATTAAGGAGCTCTTTTCATAACAAGTTAACAAATAATGTGTGTGGTTACAACAAATTACATTCTCGCTTTGCCGTGCATTCACTAATCATCGCTGTTGCGCTTTGCAAGCCAGGGCAGTGTTTCACAGAGTGCGAAGTTTGCAAGGAACGCTCTCACTGGAGATAAAGGGAGCCCCGGCTCAGGGCAGGTCCCGAAAGCAGCCGGGTGCCCACGAACAAGGCTCCCCCAAAACCAACAGCTGAGGTGTTGAGAAAATTCAGCAGATTTAGCGTAAATATTCAGGTTTCTGAAGTAGGGACCACTCGTGCTGTGCGCAGCGAGAGTGGGGAGAGGCTCAGGGAACAGGCTGTCACAATTCACGTTGAGCAGCACCTCTGTCGCAGCAGACCTACTTTCACAGCGCGCACTCAGGGCTGCGGGATGACGCAGGCAGCCACGGCCGCTTCCACTACAGAGCAGAAGTGAGACTTCCTCTGAAATTGAATCTCAAAGCCATCACTGCGCAACAGCAAGAGGCAGCTTGGTGAGGAATACCAACAGCAACAACGAACCTGCTCACCAGAATCGTCTGAAGGTGTCAAACTTTAACGCTGCAGATCCTTATACCAGGAAAGCGCAGGTGGAACTAAAAGGAAGAACAATTTTGCGCAGGCGCAAGGACCATCTGCGTGTTGTATCTATGCAGCACCTACCACCACAACAGCCCCTGCTCCTGAAATGAGACTCCCAGGACCTCTGCAACGCGGGAGTGACAGAGAAACCACAGGCTGAAAAAGAACCCCAACCATCCAAGACCCATCTCAAGTGCAAAAGTTTTATTGACCGGCTATCTGGGGCTGCGTGATTGAGCCCGCTCGCAGAGATGCCTCCTCACAGAGCCTTCGGTGCGGTGTCCTCGGATCTGCTCTGTGAGCACTCGGCAAGCCGCCCGCTGCTCTAAGAAGCGGCTGCCCGGCAGAGGTAACCAGAAGATGCACCCAGCGCTGCTCTGGGTGAAGCTCTGGTTCCGTTTTCTGCCTTCCCCTGCCTCAGTCTGCAGACATCAACAGCTCACATCTGTCCTCTTGGAAGGCGCTGCCAGTGGATCTAGTCTAACGAGCCCACTTCTTCTGGTGCCTCACGCCAAGTCCAGCACCGAGAAGCCGTTCTGTAGATGAGTCACAAACCACACCGGAGACAGTCCCTTTGTGGTGTTATTCCATACCCTATCCCTCTTCTCCAGAGCTCTACCAGCTGCCAGAGGACAGATACTGTGGTCAAAGATCTCACGATGGAAAATTCTGTGAAGAGATTTTAAAAAGTAAAAGTACGGCTTTTTAAGTTCCCTCCCGCAAAGCCCAGCACCGACAAGCCGTTCTGTAGATGAGTCACAAACCACACCGGAGACAGTCCCTTTGTGGTGTTATTCCATACCCTATCCCTCTTCTCCAGAGCTCTACCAGCTGCCAGAGGACAGATACTGTGGTCAAAGATCTCACGATGGAAAATTCTGTGAAGAGATTTTAAAAAGTAAAAGTACGGCTTTTTAAGTGGCCCGTTTTTGTTTAAGCACTGGACCCACATGTTGTGTCAGCACAATATGCAAAATGTTTTCTTCATGTGTAACTGTCTGCTCCATCAATTAACCAAAAAATGATCTAACCAACCCTGACAGGTGCCAAGTACCACCTCTAGAGACTGGTTTTGGGGAGAGGGCTGTACAGCAGAGCACACAGTGCTAAAAGCAGCAGCGGGCATGCTGTTGTTATTACTTCGGTGCCTCAAAACTCCAGTTCTGAGATCCCACTGCACTACAGTGTGGAAGCAGAAGAGAAAGCCAGCGTGCAGCTCAAAGATGGCCCTGCTGAAGACAAAGGCTGGCACCTGGCAGAGCGCTGGGTTTTGGAACAAAGGAGCTCCTTTGTACAAGCACGGTTCTGGTCTGCAGTTTCACAGGGTGCCTGATGGTATTTCACAGTCAGTTTAGAGCTTCACCCCTGGAACGCTCACACTATGCCAAGTAAACAGCAGCTCTGTGAATTCCTGGCAGCGTTTGCTGCGCCAGTTCAATTAACCTACCGTTTGTTTCCTGTGGATATTCATGATATGAATGTCTTCGCTGCGATACTCCTCATCGTGCTTATCCAGGGGAATTTTTTCCAGCTCAAAGTCCATCTGAAGCAGCTGGTTATCAGAGAAAACACGAGACGACTCAAATGACACTGACTGCCCTTTTGAACTAAGCACGTTCAGTCAGAAAGGTCCCACAATATACGCACACGAGGGCAAGAAGCCTTAGGAGGCTGGAGTCACCACGCTCAGACCGTTCCACTAAAGGCCTCTACAAACGTGCAAGCTATTTTTCCCCTCGTGCAGCACATTTACCCTCGTTCTAACTACTCCTGTGCCAATTCAAAGCTACAGACATCTTGCAACGTTTAAAGAAAAATCTAAAAGCTTGTGATAAAACATTTTGCTTCCTCCAATCTCCAAAGTGCTAAGCCAAACCACAGCACCTGCCCCTGTCTGCCAACCTTCTCAACTGGAGGGGAGGGGCGAAAAAAAAAAAGGCTAAAACCACCCAGCATCG